GAAGCTGTGGTATTTAAGGCTAACGGTCATCCAAACCCAAGATTTGCAGCTAGGTTCGGGTGGAAGCGAGCCTAAGGTTCGGAGTCCTGACCTCTACGTGAAAGCGCAGCTCGGCGCACAGTTATTCAAGACGAGCCGAACCACGGTAGGATCCTCCAGCTCGGCTTCCAACCCTACGTGGAACGAAGACCTTGTATTCGTGGCAGCTGAGCCGTTTGAGCCGTTTTTGGTGATCACAGTGGAAGATGTTACTAACTGTCAAGTGGTGGGGTATGCTAAGGTGCAGGTCACGTCCATTGATAAGCGTACGGACGACAAATCAGAGCCAAGATCAAGGTGGTTTAATTTAGTGGGCGATGAGAAAAAGCCTTATGCTGGTAGGATACACGTGCGAGTTTGTTTGGAGGGTGGGTATCACGTGCTTGATGAAGCAGCACATTTAACCAGTGATGTTAGAGCCACAGCAAAACAATTGTCCAAACCACCTTTTGGATTACTTGAAGTTGGTATTAGAGGTGCTAATAATCTACTCCCTGTGAAAACAAAAGATGGCACTCGTGGGACCACCGATGCCTACGTGGTGGCCAAGTACGGGCCCAAGTGGGTCCGGACACGTACAATTCTTGATCGGTTTAATCCGAGGTGGAATGAGCAGTATACTTGGGATGTATACGATCCCTGCACCGTGTTGACAATTGGGGTGTTTGATAATGGGAGGTACAAGCATGATGATGATGGTCATGGTCACAAGAAAGATGTACGACTTGGGAAGCTAAGAGTACGACTCTCGACGCTCGATACGAATAAGATGTACATGGGTACTTATTCACTTATGGTGTTGCTTCCTAGTGGTGCAAAGAAAATGGGTGACATTGAGATTGCTTTGAGGTTTACTTGTTCATCGTGGCTGAGTTTGATACAAGCCTATACTAATCCAATGTTGCCAAGAATGCATTATGTGCGCCCATTTGGTCCAGCTCAACAGGATATTTTAAGGCACACAGCTATGAGGATTGTCACAGCAAGATTGGCTAGGTCAGAACCTGCATTGGGGCAAGAAGTGGTTCAATGTATGTTGGATTCAGACACTCACATATGGAGCATGAGGCGAAGCAAGTCAAATTGGTTCAGAGTGGTTGGGTGCTTGTCTAGAGCGGCGACATTAGTCCGTTGGCTTGATGGAATTAGGACATGGGTGCACCCACCAACCACAATTTTGGTGCATATACTATTGATAGCCATTGTCTTATGTCCGCACCTAGTATTGCCTACAATTTGTATGTATGCCTTCTTGATCATTTCCTTAAGGTTTCGATATCGCCAGCGTGTTGCAATCACTATGGATCCTCGATTATCTCACGTGGATGCAATAGGTCCCGATGAGCTCGATGAGGAGTTCGATGGATTCCCAACGTCGAGGCCTATGGAACATGTTCGGGTTCGATATGACAGGTTAAGGGCACTAGCAGGGAGGGCACAAACACTACTAGGTGATGTTGCAGCACAAGGGGAGAGGTTAGAAGCATTGTTCAATTGGAGGGATCCTAGAGCTACTGGTATATTTGTGGTGGTGTGCTTATTTGCTTCATTGGTGTTCTATGTCGTTCCGTTCAAGGCATTTGTGTTAGGGTCAGGGCTGTATTACTTGCGCCACCCTCGGTTCCGCGACGACATGCCTTCCGTCCCCGTTAACTTTTTCCGGCGACTTCCACCACTCTCCGATCAAATTCTTTAGATTATGATTGCTTTTTTTGTTTTTACTGCACTTTCCCGGTGTAACTGCTTTTCACGGTAGCTTTGTTTTTGTTTTGTAAAACATGGCATAACTGATTACTAGTACTATTTATTAATTCAGTGGTTTGGTTTCTTAACAATGTGTATTTGATACTTTACTGACCGTTGGTGTATTGGGACAAAACATTTTTAATACACTTAAATTGAGTTGGTGGGTGCGTTAAAAAGTAGACCATAAATTGGATTAAATGAAGCGACCGTTGGACGAGTCAGAGAGGATCACAATAACTCGCCGAAAGTAATGTTAGTCCAATATTTTTCATATACATGTCGAAATACAGATTTAGCATATCGAAGAACGTTTCATTATAATATATGTTAAAAGACAATGTCTAAGACCTCTAAATGCTAAAGAAGTAAAGCAATCATGAAACACAAAATGGAAAGAGAGTTCCATAACATAACCAGCATTCGACTTGAGTCTTAAATATTCTCTTAAAAGAGGAAGTACAACTATATGACGGTTTTTTCTTTTATCTTTTGATAAGTAACTTTGCAGTGATGGACCAAGAAATTTTGCTGCAGAAAATAAAAACTGCATATACTTCAGATTAGATTAATTGCGATAAGGAAATATATAAATCATTTATAATTTGCTAAGTTCACTGATTGAACTCAGCAAATACTATTTTGGTGATAAAAGAAACTGATGCTAATGAGGTGAAAACAAGCTTGCATAAGGTAAGAGGAAGAAACAAAAACTAAAAGTATGGATGCTATGGTGCTATAAAAAGTTAAAAAGACTTTAGGTTAAAATTAAACCATACCAAGAAGACCGACATGATATGAGAGAGGTATTTCATTATCCTGAATTTTTCTTAGCTGCTCGGTTTTGTAAATTAAGCTGTACTCTTCCTAACCAGTGAACCCTGAGATTATATTTCACTTGGCTTGAAGTCTGGATTATCTGAGTCTAAAACTTTGGACACAACAAATCCTTCAATTACCTTTCCAAACGTTTATAGTTAAGATTCATTGCAATAAACTTATGGCCAAGACAAAATAGGAAGAAAAAAAAACGTCTCCTAAATGTCAAATAACAACAACAACAACAACAACAACAACAACTACCCAGTAAAATCCCACATAGTGGGGTCTGGAGAGGGTAATGTGTACGCAGACCTTACCCCTGCCCCGATCGGGACAGAGAGGCTGTTTCCGATAGACCCTCGGCTTGATAAGACGAAAACAGAGTAAAAAAAAAAGGAGAGAATTCATTAGTAAATCCAGTAGAAATCGAAATAGTAACAGAAACATAAAAACCGAAAGATGAATGACATGCAATAACAGTAACCATAATCTACGGCCCGGGTCTAAGACAAACAACAAGAATAGTGTGGGACCAATATAAACTGCAAGCCATTTAAGACCAACCTTAATCCAACCCCGCCTCACCCCCGGAATGAAGTAAGGAAAGCTTTACTACCCCTATCCTACAACCCTAATGCTTGACCTCCAGGCCTTCCTATCAAGGGTCATGTCCTCGGAAATGTGCAATCGTGTCATGTCTTGCCTGATCACCTCTCCCCAATACTTCTTAGGTCTCCCTCTACCTCTTCTCGAACCCACCACGGCCAACCGCTCACACCTCCTTACCGGTGCCTCGAGGCTTCTCCTCTGCATGTGCCCGAACCATCTGAGTCTCGCTTCCCGCATCTTGTCATCCACAGGAGCGACGCCCACCTTCTTCCGAATATCTTTGTACTACATCAAAGTTCAACTATAAATGCAGCTTCTACAACTGGCTTTTTTGTTGCTTCATGTGATGTGCATGTAAGGATTAGCCGGAGGGAATTCATTAGATTTGCTTTTTATGCACCGGTAGCATATGATGTTTTCGAAAGAGCAGTTTTATTTTTCTGCGATTTGTAGTTTGCCACCATCAAATACATCTGTTGGACAGTTGTATTTAACTTGTGACACAGATAGCATATAAATACAATATGTAGTTTTTCTTTTCAAGAAACAGAGGAACTATGATGCTTCAGAAATGTTCAAGAAAATAAAGATTCAAATTGCCACCATCAACTATATCCGTTAGATAAACATAATTGAACTAGGACACTTTGTATGAGCAATTAAGCATAAGTACACTGGAAACAGAAGGCCTTTTCACCTTTCCGGACCAAAGAAATTATGATGACAATGGCAGTGTAACAATAAAGACTCAAATATACCGAACCACACCACTATTAAACCAATAATCTGGTAAAGTTGATGCCATGTGACCAGGAGATTATAGGTTCGAGTAGTGGAAACAACCTTTTGTAGAAATATAGGTAAGACTGCGCCCCCCACATAGCGGAAGCTTAGTGCATTGGGATATCCCTTTTTTTTATGGACAGGTGAAGTTTTGTAGAATAGGTAAAGTTCAAAATATTAGAGAACAAACATAACCAAGCTCAAAATCCGAACAAAGGAGTGTTGCATAAAAATAACTAAATTAGCAAAAATCCTTTGAATACAAAGAATTCAAGCACCCGACCTCAATTAGTTTGAGATTGAGGATAAGTTTAATTAAGAGACAGTAGGATCTTAAAACTTATACAACAAAAAAAGGGAGATCAGTATAACTAATAAAATAAGTGACAATAAACATAACTAAATCTTCCAATTAGATCAAATAAGATGACTCCAATGCCACTACAAAATGTGGGTGAATGACACAAATAGGATTCTTTTGTGCCATTAATGATTTTTTGATTCCGGTAACAGAAGATTTGGGAATATAGTCGGTGGCAGAGTTTTAAAGCACGCTCCTGACGATCACCAGAAATTCTGGTTAAATCCTTGTGATCATCAGAACCTAAATTGCACGGACTCTTCGATTTTGGTGCCATCCCCGTTCCGATACAAGACGGGGACGGGAGCGGGATACGTCCCGGATACGGTCAATTGACTTCGGACATTTTGACCGGAGTCCATCAACAAATTTGGAAGAAAAATTGAGAGTTTAATTTCTCAAAATCAAAAATAAAACAGATTTAGGAGAATGAAAGATTGAATTCTACAATATTCATGTAAGTTTTTCACAAAATATCTCTCAAAATTACAATATTTTCATAGCTCTATTTTTTATTAGCCGAATCCCCGCACCGGTATCCATATCCGGTCGCACCCCCGAATTTTAAAATTTAAATTTTGCCGGATCCGATCGGATCCGTTCCCGTATCGGATACTCGCACCCGAGTCCGAGCGACTTAGATCATAACACACAAATACTGACGGATCACCAGAACTTTCAGCCACACTAGTGATCGTCAAATTCTGGTGCTTCAAAATTAGCGCCAGGCTATTTTCTCATAACTTTTCCAACAGGGTCAAAATACAAGCGGTGGTTTTAAAAAGATTCATGCAGCATAATTTTGTGACAAAATGTAGAGAACTTCCCGTGCTAGAAACACTATTTTTTTAAAAATAATTTTGGACCTAAATGGGCTTAAATGGAGCAACATGGACTGTGAGCATTAATTTATATAGTCGACACCTTACCTCTTAGTGGGGTCTGGAAAGGGTAGTGTGTACGTAGACCTTACCCCTACCCTGGGATAGAGAGGTTGTTTCCAAAAAAAACCTCAGCATTCTTCCCTCCAAGAACTTCCCACCTTGCTCTTGGGGAGACTCGAACTCACAACCTCTTGATTGGAAGTGGGGGTTGTTTGCCATCAGAGCAACCCCTCTGATGGTAAGCAAGATATAGTAAAATAGGTAACAATTTGGCAAATATCATGTCACCTAAAAGATAATTATAATTAACTTCCCACACAAATTGGAAACATTAACATGAAAAATAAGGCAGGCGACTTGCGAAAGCAGGTTAAATTACAGTCTAAGATACTTTTGACAGTATCAGTGTATACAAGTTAAATTCTCAGTGAATTACCTCTCCAGGAATGAAAGGAGGGATATAAGATCCAGTGAAATTGCGCATTCGGGCACGCATAAAAGGGTCACAAGATAAGTACAAATTCTTGACCAATAACCCACCTGACCCTTTTGGGACTTTCTCTAGCTTCAACCTTTTTCCAATTCTCAACTCCATGTCAGTTTCCTTTGGTATTCCTTCTATGTATCCTTTGAATATGATTTGCTTGTTCTCCACTGTTTTTCCTAGTAGCTCAACTGCTTCTGCTTCTTCTTTTCCTGCTTTTTTCTCCATGTTTTACAACTACAGATAATGTACTCAAATAAGGCCTTTTTGCAGTAGTTTTAGAATTTAGATGATCCCAAGATAGCAAATTTGTGAAATTCTTGTTTCCTTACACAGCTAAACTAGGCATAAGTAAGTGAACTGGGGGGATTTTGGAAAGTTGGGGGTGGGTTGGGATTGAGAAAATGTGTAGTTATAGCTGGAGTTAGGTAGGGGCATTCATCACAAAAAAACATTTTCCTGGGAATGCAATGAACTAAGTTTAGGACACTAATGAAAAAGGTTGTCTAGTCCATCCTTCCCTTCAAGATCTTCTCTGTCACTTCAGTTGGTGTACTGCAACAACAAAGAGATTGGACCAAATAAGATACTGAGAACTGTGCTATTAACTAGCTTTAACTGATAGTATATCATGAAGTATTACAAAGAGCATGCAAACTATCAGTAATTCACCTATTAACAAAGGGGGTTGATGCAAGAGGGATTTGGAGTACATCAACGATCTAGTCTACTACTGTGAAGACAAAAAGAAAGTAACGTAGTCATACCATTTAAAACAAATACAAGTTCTGGTGCTTCTGAGAGTTATTCTGAATCATTCCTAGTAAATCCTTCTGCAAATAAAAAGATCATTCAAAGAGGTTTGTGTTGGCTTCTGTAAGTGTCCAATGTCCATAGAGGAGCAAACACAGGTAATGACTGAGTTGTAGTGGATGGACTACAAGGGATCACAAAGAGGAGGTCAAAAAAAATAACATAGAAAGAAAATGAAAGGTCAAAAAGAAGAGAGATAGATGGAAAGGAAAACTGGAAATGACAAGGAAATGAAAGGAAATGATGGACCAGAAATTGGTTTCTCCATTCACTCAAGGCATTTGTTTTGTGCTAAGAGACTTGGCTTCCCCAAGCAGATGTCTTATGGACTACAGCAGTGTGTTTTTTC